AAACAACAATGCTGTGGGGAAACAATGGCTGGATCTCAGTAGAGATACAAAAATGATAAGCAACAGCTAAAAAGTAAACGTAAGTAAACAGCCAGAAATAGAACCAGAGCTTTCGGACAACACTAGTCCTTCCTCAGTGGCGAGTGAGTGAGGGTAGAAAAAGCCAGATAGTATAAAGTGAGAATTTCATGCAATCATGATTAGAAACAATAGGATAGGTGAGATGAGAATAAACAGCGTGGACAATTGAACAGGTAGGCCAAATAAAAAAAATTTAGAAACACACCAAATGATTTATACAGATTGGAATGCCATTGGTTTATTTTAGTGTGCTGGGAGAACGTTCCTAATATTGAGTCCAAATGGTGTGGTGGTTTTAAGTAAAAGTTCCCAGTGATTCTCTTTATCTTTGCGATTTTTGTCGCTCCAATTGGCATTATGGTCTATTGCAATCACTCTAAAATTTGAGATTGAATGATCAGCTAAATTGAAATGTTCGGCTACTGGTTGATCAAGCTTAGATGTTCTGATTGCTGATCTATGTTGTGTCATTCTCATACGGAGAGTGTTTTTTGTTTCTTCGACATATTTTTTACCACAAATATTACAATAGGCCTATATGAGATAAATGACATTTTTGGTGGAGCAATTAATTGATTGCCTTATCCGAAATATGTGGTTTGTTTGGTTGCTCCTGAATGACTGTAGAATCAAGCAAGGAGCATGTTTTGCACTGATGAACCACAAAGATGACTGGCCAAATTATGGCTGTCGCAAGAGTTACTTTGCCTCTTGAATTTAGATCGTACTAATATATCACGAAGGTTAGGTGGTCTGCGATAGGCTATGAACGGTGTATCCGGAAAGACAGACCTAAGACGTTCTGTGGTCTGTAGAATGGGCATATGTTTCTGAATTATAGCCCTTAGTGGTGGTAACCTAGTGTGATAGGTAGTGACCAGTGGCATTCTGGTCGATCACTGACGTGGTTTGTACGTCAGTGTTTGACCACGAGGTATGCTCTTTGCTTCTTTTTTTTTTATAGTATTTTCGATGGGTCCTCGATGATATTGTAGAAGCGGTTGCCGCATCATTTTGTGGCTTGGACTCCTAACCATGTTCCATATGTGTTTGATCCAATGACCGGGGTAGTAATGTGAAGCGCTTAGAGGCATTGTGCATGAAGCGCTATATAAGAGCGACATATTAATATTATATTTTCTATTCCGGAGATGTCCGGATAGTTCTTCTGTGCGATTCTGAAAATCTAAATCCGAAGAACAAATGCGTCTCATGCGCAGTGCTTGGTTGTACGGAATGTTTTTGTACATTGCGGGGGATGACATCTGCTAGGGAGAAGGTACATATGCTTATCTGTGGGTTTACAGATCGGTTTTAAGTGCACCATTTTCCATGGTCACGGTGATGTCAAAAAAGTCTACACTGCTTGAGGATTTATTAACAATGAATTTGATTGTGGGATGAGCCGAATTAATTCAATAGGAACGTATCCAAACTATTTTCACCATGGGTCCAGATCATGAAGATATCATCAATGTAACGAAACCAAACATCTGGTTTCTTGTGCTGTAGGGACAGGAAGTTGGCCTCAAATTGTCCCATAAATAAATTTGCAAAAGATGGAGCCATTTTAGTGCCCATCCTGTGCCATGAATTTGAAGATAATCAGCATAATAAGTTCACGTAGATGAGATTTAGATGGGGTTTTGCCCCGAATTTGTTTGTAATTTGAAATACATGCATTAACACCTTCTTCATGAGGGATATTAGTATATAATGACGAAACATGAAGTGTAGCCAGAACAGTATTATTAGGTAAATTTGAAATTTGGTTAATTTTCCGGATAAAGTCCGTGGAGTCCTGAATGTAGGAGGGGAGAGCAATAAATCATCCACATATTCAGAGATTTTTTTCTGTAGCACCGTTGCCCGAAATGATGGTCTGCCAGGATGGTTTGCTTTGTGGATTTTGGGTAGGACATAAAAACGTCCTGGTACCGGATCGACCTGGATAAGATGGGGTGCAATTTTGGGATCGATGGAACCCTTTTTAACCATCTTTAATAGATTTTTCCACTTCCTTAGGAATTTCCGGAGCGCGGTCCTCTGTGAGCTTCCGATAGTGAAGAGGATTGTTTAGATGTCTTAAG